AATCACTTACATAACCTTTGGTGAACAAGTCTGTAAAACAAACCTGATTTCACCTGAAGTTTCTATAAACTATCTAAAGAATTCTTCCTAAAAGAACCAAGACTATGCACACCTACAGAACCAACTAGTGTAGTGAATTTTACTTTTTATAAACTTTATTCAGAAACCTAGGATATGCCCAGGTAAACATTTCTACCTACACTCAGGAGGTCTACATCTCTTTTGAAACAGTATCTTTTACTCAAAAACTTTCTGAACTATGGCCAACTACATGACAGCTCAGTCCTGCTACTGCTGAAAATACTCCTGTAACATAGAAAAAACGTTGTCAGGATACATAAGAAAACACCAATATAGCCTCTCCTTCATGCTTAAATTCCTTACTTGTGACTGAATAATAAACCCGTTGTTGGTATTAAAAAAAAAAAAATTTAACCAGAAATTCTTGCAAGGGTGTCCAAACAAGGCAGACCATGCACATGACCGCAGTGTTTTAACAAGTTTACCAGGACTGAATTAAACTTTCCAGAATGGGGGATCTGAGATGTTTCCCAAGATTTTGCCAAGTGATTCCACTATCAGTCGAGTTTTGGGAGTCACAGTTCTTCTGCAAGTGCTATTAACACTTTAAACGACATGTTTTCTAACACGTGTTTGCATAGTAATGGATGCTGTACTCTGCGTTATGTTTTAAACTTAATATTTATAGTTACTAAACAAGTGAAAATTCCTAAGCTATTTTCTACTTAACTATGCCGTTGTTAATCTTAAAAATAAATCACTTTGCACATACTGACCTGAGTTTTTCTCCATCAAATGCCAATTGAGAAAATGTATGGTACCAAGTAAAAGCGCAGGGGGACAAATTCAAATAATCTTCCCTTTGTTTATGAGCCATGTATTAAACATCTGTTAACACGTTTCAATTTAAATAAAAATACCTCTTCTAACAGTGAAACGGTTTTTGTCAACGGTAACAAAATGTGACTCAATAATCTCCTCATACAGAAAAGAAAAAAAAAGAAGACCCGCTAGGATATCTCAAACGAAACCGAAAAATATAAAAACTGGCAGGTTTTACACTTGAAGGTTTCCGATTACTGCCTTTCACTTTCTCCAAAAGCAGCAGCCGCTTCTAAAAGAAAAACCACTCCCAGGGATGGGCAAAAAAATACACGCCGTAGGGTGTACACGGCTACAGGGAAGGGCGGAGAGGGCTACAGGGAAGGGCGGAGAGGACTACCCGGAGCGAATGGGTCTGGGGAGGCCGCCCACCGGAAAGTCCCCGTCAGAGCTCCCCGCCCCTCCCCCTCGACGCAAGGAGGCGGCGCGCTGCGCAGAGGAAGCACCCAGACTGCGCACGCAGCCCAACGTCACTTCGTTGGCTCCTCCCGGCCGCGAGGCGCCTGACGTCACGAGGCGGGGCCTGCCCGAAGGCCGTCGCTGTTGACCTGCTGTTACCAGGCACGCGCGCAGCCAATCAGCACTCGGCGCCGGCGCCGGCCGGCCTTTGAACTCAGCACGGCAACTTCCTGCTGTTTGGCGAGTACACAGTGCAATGCAGTATGTCTGTCAGCGCTGCGGCACAAAGGAACAGCCATTTTGTGACTGAGCTGGACCTGCACCAAGATGCCAGGGGCTCAGAGAGCTGCTGCCTGTGCTAACTACCGAGTTGCCCTTTATTTCAGCACCAGAGAACCAAAAAAGGGGAGGGGGGGGAGGTTTTGGTATTTCAGGTTTCAATTCACTTTATTTTGACTCTTCTCAGAAATCCCGATTCTTAAGAATTATCAGCGTCATAAAATGGCTGCCACTTAAAAAACTGCCTGTTCCAGTCCACAAGCAACTGCATTATGCCATTTGTAATCATCCCCAGGCTTTTAGAATAACTGCTAAAAGGCTGATTTAAAGACAAGATTTTGCCCGGCCCTCACGTTATCAAAATAAATCTGGTTCAAAAGGAGACGACTTGGAGATAAATTTAATAAACTGTTTCAGTTCTTAAGATAAATTGCAAACACAGCGCCCCAGAACACACACAACTCTTTGTGTGCACACAGTTCCATTCACATTCCCTTCTCTCCTGTTTCCATTCTTTAATATTACTGAAGTTACCCCAAACTGCAAATATTTAGATAAATGTGTGGTATACATTTCTATACATATCACTCAAACTGTTTTAAATATTTAGGAACTTTACAGGTTTCAAATATTTTTAAAATCTTATTTTTGAAAGTGAACTGTTTAATCTTCAAAAATCATGATATACAAAGTATAATATTAAACTGAAGCAGTAACTTCAAAAGAATACAGAAATAACAAACTTACATCACTATTAAGTATTGCATTATTTCCAAAAACAGGAAAATATCAGGTCTACCAAAACTTGCACTCAATCCTTTCAAATCCTAAAGTAATTCTCAGACCAAAAAGTTTACTTGACCTGCCAACTCCTCCCTTCCTCTCCTGTGGCTCAAGCTGCAAAAGTGCTTTTTTGTAGTATTCCCTACACTAGACTTTGTGCCATAGAAACCAGATCCTTATGAAGAAATTCTGATGAATTAAGGAACCAGGTACTAGTTACCGGAACAATCACTTTAATTTTAGTTCACTAAAAATACCAACAATCTACTACAATAAACCACCACCACCATCCTTTAGCTTTATAATTTTAAAAGGAAGTGATGTCATAATTATGTACCTGTATTAAGGTATGCAATTTAGGGTAACTAATTTAAACTCCCATCTTCTCTTCCAGGAATCTCTCAAATATTTTTGGACATTCATCAGGTATATGACAAAATATACTTGACAAAATGCATTTAAAAGTACAGTACCTGCTTCTTGTTAAACTGTAACCCCCACTGCCAGTTAGGCAAACGCATGACAACTTCTAAGTAGTTTTCCAGGTGAGAGCAAATTATTAAAAGAATGAATAGCGACACTGCTTGATTTTTTAAATTAGAAAGCAGAGTCTGATCAATGATGTTAACCACAAACCTTGCATAAGAAAGCCAAAACCCATGTGAGACTATGCAAATCATACACTCAAGGGAATAACAATTTTAGGTATTGAATCTTTAATAATTTGTCAAATATACCTGGGGATTCCTATTTCTTCAAATCACCAGTACTTCTCAGAAAAATCAGTTTAGGATTAGTAGAGAAGTTTTCTGTCCTAAATCTAAGCTAGGTAATTACATGGGCAATTCAAAAGACAGCAGTCCAAACTATGTGACAACTCAATCTGCAAAAGAATTTAGCAAGGTATTTTTAAAAGCAAGGGTCAAAATATTTTAAGTTAACAAAACAAATAAAATTCAACATTTGTAATAACAAACCATGTTCAATCAAAACTTTCAAATTCACTGACCTATTTATATAAAATTATAAAAAGCAAAATTGGGGAGGAAACTCATATAAACAATCACATCCTTGTTAAATGTATGATTTAAAATTCATGACATGACAATTCGTAAGAATACACATCAAGAAATGCATTCATATATACTTTTAAAAATTAATATACAAAACATACAACAAAACATCTTAAAGGCTTTATTACTTAAGTCACTAATAAGGTACTCCAACAAATGTGAAACAAATCATGATTTGAACAAACAGTACATTTGTAAGCTTCAGAAGATAAAGCATTCCAGGCGACTCTGTCAAAATAAATCAATAAATTTAAAGCAGCTACAACTAATATGTGAGGATAAAATACTGTATCAACCAGAAAGCATTGTCTGAATATAAGCATAAAAATGCAAACCTTAAAATATTTTAAACATAAAATACAGTTATAATCACAGTAACAAACACAAAACAGAAGTAAATTAAGAGTATTCCAGGATTTCTGTGATCACAGGTTTGATTTCATAAATGCAGGAACTGTAACAACCGAGTAAAGGTTTTGATAAATCATATCAAAATTTCCTAAAATGTCAAGAGTATCAAAAGAAATATAGAGTCAAATAAAAATATAAACTGAGAGGCATCAGTCAAAGGGTCTTTTTTGCAATTTCATTTTAAAATGTACATTTTTTCATTCATATAACTTTCTCAAATGTCTATTTACTATAATTTACTACCACAAGGCTCCTCTATGGCCTTCAGTTACAAGTTTGGGTATCCTAGATTCTTCACAGAAAAATTTGCCTTGTATGTAAAATGGTGCAATGCAGCAATGGCTAAACCGACAAGGTCATTTTTCTACAGCACAAAAACCTAAAAACTGAAATTATTGACAGAAAAACTCTAGTTTACAGGAAAGGCCCCCTTCAATAAAGGTACCTTACCTTTTGACTGCTGTAAGAGGCCTTAACTCACAACTCAACTTTCATAAATTGCTACCAAAAAATTAGGGTGTGGCATATTAGCAATCTCAAGGTCACGCTTTAAAAAACGAACCCAAATTAGTAAAATACTTAAAATAAAACAGACAGCTATCCTTGTCTGTCAAGGTAAACAATGTAAGCTGAGGTTTCCCCCAAAAAAAGAAAAAAGGAAGAAAGTTGATAGCTCATACCTCGATGCATTGCTGTGTAGCGAACTGTCCTCCTCTTGGCTTTTGTCCTTATTTCTCATCATCTTTTAATTCTTAAATATTAAGGGGGAGGGGGAATCTGTGTTTGCTTTGAAGTCCTGTGCCCAGGTATTTACTGTCAAAAGTTGAAAGAAAGGTAAGGTCCCAGCTTCTATCGATGGTTTTTATTATCAGGAACAAAGTCCTGACGATGTAACGATATTGTTATAACACAACAGCGGTAAACATCAAAAAACAAAATATTTCTAGTTTTTCCTTTAAAAAAAAAAAACAGGATAAACCAAACGGGGAATCATCACTATCAATAAGGAAAGTTTCTCAAAGTAACACACTGGATACAAATAACAATCTCTGTATCTTATTGCGTCATCCAGGAATTTCTCATATTTACAGAAAATAAAGCAAACTTAAAGATATAAATCTTTAAAATCAACACTAATGATCATGAACTTACCTGATCCATGTAGTAGGTCCAAAGCAAGAGTCCTATCTACTAGTAGAAAAATATCAGATCCCAAATAATTAAAAATAAAAACAAAATTCTCCGTTAAAAGACGAAAAATAAATAAAATAATCCTCAAATATGTTAACTGGTCAAAAAAATAAAGCAACAATTAATACTAAAACGGGTCCGGAAGAAAAAAAACCTCATTAGGAGAGCGCACAAAAATGGAGGTGCGCCATGGCTTCTAAGCTGGAAAAAACAACGACCTGGGCTCTCAGTACGGCTGCTTCTTTCCAACAAGGCACGAAAAGAAAGCTCCTAAAAGCTGCTTTTCTCCCTAAAAAAGGTTCGAATCGACCCCAGTCAGTCACTAGGAGAGGCAGGGGGCTGCGGGGGCCCCCTGAGGCTGCCCGAAAGTTAGGGAAAGTTGCGTAAAGTGAGGCGAAGGCAGGGAGCAGAGCGCGCTCTCTCTAAGGCACAGCCGCCATCTAGAGCCTCCTTCCCAGCTCTGAGAGCTCTGCCTTTGATTGACACTCTCTACATTTACCCCACAACTCAGGTGATGTACCATAGACCCACCCCTTCATCTCCACCAAAAAAAAAAAAAAAAGATCCTCCATCCCAGGGAGCCTGAGGACCCCCACCCCCACACCTCCCAGCCCCTCCAGACCACCCCATCAGGGGGAGGGGGGAGGGTTTCTTAACCCCCTCTGGCTCAAGCACCCTTTTTAAGCCAGAGAGAAATGTAATTTGTTCCTTTTGTCTAAAGATCTGCTAAATATTTCAGTCCTTGAGCTAAAATAACTTCCTCTCTGGACAGGAAGTGGTGTTTTATCAAGCCATTTTGAAAGAGGGATAATTCTTAGAGAATATAAAGCTCAGCTTAAGTACTAACCTTTTAAAAAATTAACCCCCCCATGGGTAAAATGGTTTCTAAATAAAAGCAAAACCTCAATTTTATAAATTAAATTCAAATCTTGCCTTCTTTATGAAGCCAAAAAATTATCTAAAGACAAAGTTTAAGGGGGAATTTTCCATCCCAACTGGAAGAAAGGGGTATAACTCAAGAGCGCCTCCCTAGTGTTCAGTTGCATTAGAGCAAAAATTAATGCAACTAGTTTTTAATTCAAGAATCTCAATTTCCTTTTTACTTTAAAAAATTCTTTAACCCATTATATAACCTTGCAAACTTTACCCAAAAAATTCTCGTAACCACAATATATTTACTTGACACACTGATTCAGGCAAAACAAAGTTCTTAAATTCAAGAGTATGGAATTACCACGGTCACCTTTAAATAACAAACCCAAAAAACTCCACCTCCAAAAACAACCCAACACATATATCCCAACCCTTCCCTTGTATTTCCAATCAAATTCTAAGTATATACCCATTTCAACAATGGTAAATTAATAACAAATGGTCATATCTGATGGCAAGTTATCAAAGTAATGTCACAGGGCAAATTCTTCTAAATATCAAAGCCATGAGATCTATGCAAACAAAATTATTACTAATGCCAAAAACAAATTATTCAACACTCTTTCTCTCAACAGGCACCCCAGGAAAAGTCACATATCCAAAAAAAAAATATCAACTTTCCTTACTCAACATTATAATCTGCCAGAACAGTGTCCTTCCCTCACTAAGGAAATCCCATTTTTGATTTATATCCAACAAAAGCAACAATGTTGCATCTAGGTAAATGTAAAACCCATAATCAAACTCAGTTTCAATTCTGAACTTTCTACAAGATAATTCTGTACCAAAATCAAAATCCAAAATTCCCCTTTTGATTTATACAGACCAACCACCTCAATCAATGAGAACAAATGCTGAACATGTATTGATCATGGTTATATGTGCTATGATATCTGACATTAATCACAAATGCAGTAAGCTTAACTATTCTCACCAACAACAACTCAAGCTAAACTATTCCTTGTTCTCTGTATAATGGGAAAATATCAACAACCCATTTGGTCTTTCAAAATAAAGCCCATCACACTTTAAAATAGTTACTGAAACTGGTGTTAAGTTCATTGTCAATAAATTAAACTGCAGTATTCATCTAGAATTCAAACATAAGTAATCTATGACACAGTGATTCATTTATTCTAAATTCCTAAAGGTACATAATAAAAGATAATAATCCTATTTCATACTTACATAAAATGTATTATAGACATTATTGCCACCAAAATTTTAAGTCTTTTATGAATACTCTAAGGACACTTTCCTATAAATGCAACACCTCTCCCCCTAATATTAACTATTAAGGCAATAGGAGGCATCAGTTTAAATGTTCAGACGAATATTCTATTGCAAGACGTTTTATTTATAATATTAAAAATCAAGGGTAAAAGAAACCTTTTCCATCAACACAAAATAACTCAGAAAAATACTGTATCACTCATCCTGAATTTTGAGGCAAAGGCATTTTGTTTTAAAAGTTCATTAAAATCTCATGGCAAATTAAAGATTCTATTATTACCCAATGGTTATCTGAAGATGTTTCAAGAAAGCACAAAATAGCATTTCAACTGAACGACCATCTCTTAAAAGCACAAATAAATTTCTACAACTTTGTGAAAAAAGACAAATCTAGACCAACCAAGTAAAACATTTTCCAGCACACCATTTCCATTTTACCAGCTTTATTCAGTACACTTTACTGCTGGGCAACTGTAAAGGTCAAAGTGTTATTTAAGGCAATAACTGAACATTTAATGAAACTTCAGTTTTAAAAAAAAAGCCCAAACTGAGAAATTTTAAAGTGTTGGAAATTTTATTAAAGGTAACATTCCATAAGGTCATACTCATACAAATCAAACTGCAAAAAATTCCAGGCATACAAACTATCATCTGTGTTAATGTGCCATCTTTCTTCTCCAAATGTCAAAAATGTACTTGTTTTAATGATACAAAAAGTCTTTGGCAAGTCAAATCCACTGTCCACTTGTGTTGGGTAAGAAACCTATATCTTCATTCATTTCATGAAATCCATGTTAAAAGAACCCTGTCTTGGTTGTATATTATCACAGCACTCTTGTATTAATCCATTTTCCTCAATTCCCCATAGTGGACTGCCATCTTGATTTCTCAGTGGTAGGGTCCATTTGAGACTCTTCAAGCTGACTGGGTGCTTGATGAAAACATTAAAAGAAAAAAATGCTGTTGGAATACCAATAATCTTATTCCTTCAAACAGAGAACATCCACCCACCTTGAAGATACTCTTACCATACACAAAGCTTTAATTTTGTAACAGCTCTAAACTATGTAACTGTATTAAAGTTGTATGTACTGCACACACAACTTCTCAATGAGAGAATCAGAGAAAGACTGCACTCAAGCAACAAAGTTCTTCTACTGTCACAGATACATATGTAACCATAAAAAAGTGGCAGTGAAGACTCAAATTTTTAATAGTTAAATGTAATGTTATTATACTGTCTATATGAGAAGTAAAAACAAAAATTCAAATTCAAAAATCCTGGAAAGCTAAATTACAGCAACACTATGGATTCTAAATCTCGATGCAGAAAACTTTCCAAGCTCCTTCAAATAAAACTAATTATGGAAAAGAATCTTACAGATAAAAAAAAAAAGAAACCCAAAGCAGTGGATCATAGCATAGACTTCCAGTCCAACAGATGTTAATTTTGTTTAGATAATGCAAATGACCAATACAGATGCCACCATCCTTGGCTACATATCTGAAAATGCAGGTAATATGTAGCCACTAGGAAAAAAGTGATCAAAAATGCAAAATATCTGCCTGGCTTATTTGGTATTTGCCAAATCTGATAAAATATCAGATTTCAAATTAAATACAAATAAAATACTCCCATTCCCAAAATATCAAATGTTCCTCAAAGAAAAACAAATCCATTACTTAAGTAATTTGAACTAAAGGGATAAGTGGCAAGCCAGGAGATTTTACCATTAAGTAAATGATCCTGATTCGTCATGACCAAACATAATTGCAAAAATAAGTTTTAACCCTGATCTTCTCTATAAATTTTGCAGCTCTCAAACTAAATTTGTAGAGATAAAGTCTGGGTGACTGACTAGGAGATTATTAAACATAAGGGCATTTTTGCTGATTACGTAGCTAATACCTGTGTCTCCTAAAACTATCATCAGGATTTGTTGTCTACCATATACAACACAAAAATCTACTTAATAAACTATTTGGTTAACCAAGAGACATTGCCACTCATATTAAAAAAAAGACTGAAAATGAGTGTCACCACATCAGTAGTAAACATCAAACGCAAGATATTTCTCCTTAAGGTATTTTGCTGATTTCTCTCCATCCTAAAAGGAGAACTAAATAACTCACTCATTCATTCACCATACCAGTAAAATATCTTCCATTTGAACTGTTCATTCCTTAAAATGGACACATACTTCTATATAAAAGTATAAAAATAAAAATACCATCATTTCTCCTGTAGAGTTAATTGTAAGCCAACTTCTCCCCAATCTCTACTGCTATCACGTTAAGATCAAGCTCTAAATGAAGTTGGGGATGTAAATACTATTATGATGAACAATGACACTAATGCATTGATATCAAGTTACAATCATCTCAATGGCTATGGGTGCAATTTATTCAAGTTAGTACATTAAATGATAAACTCAATGCTTTATATTCTTCTGCCACAGGACAAGAGGTAAAATTTATTGAGATTATATAAAAGTTCCTTTTAAAACCATTATTTAAAAAATTTTTTTCAAAAGAAAACCTAATGACACTAAAATCATTCCAAAATTACTCAATAAAATGCACTAGTTTGTGTGACAAAAACAGAGATTAGAAAATACAAGCATATTGGTCATGCTATCCCATATATTGTCATATATTTAAGATAGTTAAAAAAAGGAGTGAAGAAAAAGAATGCTACAAGAGAAAGCAGACAACTCTTAATGACATTAAAAAGCCATGATCAATCTACATTCCTGCAAAGGCAATCAAAGCCTATAGTGAGAATTTTGTTAATAAGCAAAAGTGCTCAGTCAAGCATCAAAGCTCCTAAAAGAACAATGAGGGATTTAGGAGTAAGCCACTGATTTTCATGGAATTACAAATTCTTACAAAAATTAAATTTACAAATAAGCAAAGTTATGTTAAAAAATAAAAAAGTAGGCATGAGTTCTGTGAGCCTGGAAATGTTTTTGGTAACAAAATCCACAGTTCATCTGTAAAACAGAAATAGTAGCGGTACCTACCTCATGTGGCAGTAGTGAGGATTAAATGAGTTAGTACATTTACAGCTTTTACATTACCTGGCATATAGAAAGACCTCAATAAATGTTAGCTATTATTCTGATATACCACAATAAGCAAAATACTTGGGGACCTACAAACTAACCTTACTGAAACAAAATAATTTATATTCCAATAGTAATGATATCTCTGAAGAATCCATAGGATCATGGGGTCAATTAAAGACAAAACACTTTCTGCTTTAAAAAGAGAATTTAATCTTGCATTAAAATAAGATCAGTACAAAAAAACTGAGCAGAGTTTAGATATCAAAGCCCTACTACTCCACATCTTTCCAGTAACTTGTGAATTACTGCAGACATACTGAAGAGATGATGATGGTTTGATCTAGAATTCCATCATTGCATAGATCTAGATCTTTTGTGTATTTCACATAAGCTTCAAGCTCATACTATGAAAAGTTAGGAGAATTTTTCCTCTATGATATTCACTCATTTATACCTCCTTTTTAAGGAAAATTGCTTGTTCTAAGTAATTCCCAAAAGCAAAGGTAAAGGCTTCTATGGTAAGAAGGTAATAAGAAACCACTCTCTCTTAAAATCCCCAAATATTGTACAACCAGAAATAAAGAATATAAAATTGAGTAAGGGGTCTTCTCTTTAAATTTTAGCTCCCAAAACACTGGGACATTGTAAAATAAAATAAGTTGTTAGTTGAATGCAAGCAAGTAATTCATTACTGGATTGGGTTTAAGAGGGGTTCCCCTAAAATAAGCAATCTCCTTACCTCTACTTCCCAGCAAACTCCTACTTTTAATAGCAAGAAGAAATGTGAGGGACAAGGAGGAGTATAAGAAAAATGATTAATGATTTTTTAATTTTAAAAATAGGTGGCTCTAATAATGCTATAATTTATTAAATTAATGTAATTCACAGTATTTTAAAACTCAAATACTTATTGCAAAACCAAAGGGACAAATGGGTACAAATTACAATGAGGAGCGGAAATTGATCTTTCCCATCGTGTAATTAAGATTCTTGGTGCTTATGACTTGATTTCAATCTTCTTTATACTGGTCTTTAAATTTGAAAACACTTAATAGTGAATTCATATATTTTGCCTTATTACCAAAAATAGCTTTAATCTTCAATAAGATTATAATATATTAACAAGTATGGGTCCTAAATAAGGTAAGCATAAAAACTAACTACAAAGTGATTTGAAAAAGACCAGCCAGCTGTTGATCACTAAGAGAATAAGATCAATTATGATAACTAAGAAAAAGTCATCTTATTTAAGGTTTTACAATCAAATCAAATCTTCCCCATTGTCCTTATTAGTTTAAAACTTGACTACATATGCATGTTAAGACATTGAGAGTTGTAGTTTCCTGTCACTTTTAATTTTTTACTGAGTCAAAGTTTTAGCTTTCAGGCACACCTAAAAGTTAATATTTAAAAGCATTAAAACTTGTTTTAATAATGAATTTTACTTTGTTTTTCAATTAGACCCAAAACATCAGTGATAAGTAATGTTTAATAGAAACTACATACAATAGATCAACAAGTATTTATTGAGCATCCACTATGTGCCAGGCAATTAATCTCTTTAAAATATAAGACACAAGGTCAAAACTGTAATACATTAGCAAAGTTTTCATCTCTGCCTCACCATCCTCATCATCCTCCATCAAACCAAAAACGAACTTCACTATTTTGCAGGCCTTAGTAGCCACTTATACAATAGAAGTTGAGGTAGTAATTAGAAGCAAAAATTATCATCCAGAATCTAGATTCCCAAATGTGATTCAAAAATAATTATTCTTATGAGACTGCTAGTATGTAATTATCATACCTAAAAACTCCTGTCAATCATAAATAAATCCTTTTGAGAATTCATCCAAATTCATTTATACAGCCTTACCACTAACTCTTCCCACTATTTCTAAGGTTGAGAGTTAGAAAAACTATTCCATAGTAGTAGTAACCAAGTCTTCTAATACTCAAGCATAACTTCAGTGTGAAAAGAACTTTTTGTTGAGCTTTCAAGTTCAAGGAAAGTTCAGAATTACTTATTAGAATTACTACACTGAAATCCATTGAAAAGTACATTCTATTACCAGATGAGAACTCAAGGGCTTCTGAGTTCTACAAAGGTAAGGTAAAGTTGACAAAAAGGATGGATCTAGGACAAGAATAGACAAGCTTTCCTTATAGGACAAGACAGTAAATATTTCAGGGTTTGTGGCCATTAGGTACAACTACTCTCAACTCTGCAGCTGAAGTGGGAAAGCAAACACAGACAACGTGTAAATCAAAGAGCATACCTGTGTTCCAATAAAACTTTATTTACAAAAACGGGGGAATTTACCAACACCCAGATCTAGGGCAGAGTGTTAGAAGCATGTTCAAATGTGAGTTTCTTTGCATTTTAACTTTGCCTGAGTTTAAGTAGAGACAGTAGAAAATAATAATAGGTTGGAGTAAATTAATAAGCAAATTTTAATAATACACACACACATCTAACCACCTTGATTTTTTATTTTTGTACTGCTTTGAGCTTCACTAAATCCCTTTATATTTTTACAACTCTGACTCAATTATTCAAAATTTCCAGTCATTTAAAATTAAAACACAGATTAAACATGTAAATTGAATAAAACTTACTACATGCTTCCACCAACATCTATTACGTTGTACAGGCCCTTTAGAGAATTCATTCTCAGGATTCACATTTCTGCAGAAAACAAAAAGAATATAATTTTATGCACAGAAAAAAACAAAAATAGATTATTAAAATGCCATGATTTATTTGGGAACTTCAACATCTTATAAGGATCACTCACCAGAAGACCAAGACATACGTGTATTTATGAACAATACAGTCCAAGCAGAAAATAAACAGTTCTAACCCAGAGGATCTTAAATTTGGCTGTACAGATGTAGGGGGCTCATCTGTAGAATAAGTTACTTTCACGTGCATAAGTCTCAGTCCCCAAGAACTCCAACAGAAGAGGTAAAAATCTGGGCTTCCTAGGTGGATCTAATTGGCAGTGTTGAGAACCAGTTGCTTAACAGAAACGACATTACTCTTTAGCAGTATGGAATTATTTTATCTTCTGGTCTTTCCTCTAATCAACCCCCAAGACTTCTCAAGGAAAACTTCCATTACCCACCTGCAAGGCCATGTTTCTCACTCAATTTACCATATTATTCGACATTACCATTTATTTTAATCAACCCTATTCTAAGATAAAGTGTTAAAAAGGAAACCTTAGGCACAATTTCAAACTATTTTTACTACTAATTTACTACTACTAATTGTACTGACTTACTCAACACTAACCCTTTCTAAAATACATACTTGATAACAAAAACATCATATCCACACTTTTCACTAGATTGAAATAACTCATAAACTAAACATGGATGATAACGTTTCCCATATCTCAAATACCTTTTGAATTACCTTCAAATACCTTCTGTATATCCTTTTTTCAGTCACTCTTGCTCTGAAGCATGATGATAATAATCACAATAACATGCAGAGCTACCAAAAAGCTCTGTTTAGAAGTTCACTACTAAAGTGTAGCAATTTAAGGATTTTTAGAAAGCAAAAGAATAGTTTAGGACTTAAGTTAAAACTAAGCTACCCAAAGGCTTTTCCATGACTAAGGTTTCAAATTTTCAAATTATAAAGTAAGTTCCTGATTATCTTACCAAATCTAAATCCCCTTAGTCATTTTGACTAATCAAGAAATATAGTAAAGATCTGCTTCAAAATTACCTTTAAGAGTAAGGTGCTAAAATATCCTCCCAACAAGTTAACAAATGAAGAATTTTACAAGAAACACGGCATTATGTTTAAGCTTCCAAATTTAATCTGACCTTGTAAGGAAGAGAATTTGTGAACAAAGACAAACCTTAAATCAACCAAGTAAAATAAACTGATTTAACCCCTAAGAGAAGGGTGGAACTAACTTAACGAATATTTGTGAAAGAAATGTCTGAGGGAAATCCATCATATTGGTCTGATCATGTGCTTATAAAAAAGCTCCCTAGCAGTACAAGTTACTGACGCCAATGTAATCTAACATCATCTACCATACCATCTCCTTCCCAAAAATTCACAAAGCAGTACTTTGCTTTCCTTTGAAGGGGGGAAAACCAAGTTCGGCTTAGGCAGACTACAAAAGTTGATGACTTGTGCTCTGGCCCGGGGTCATAGCAGTTAAGTTCACACACTCCCCTTCAGTGGCCCAGGGTTCGAGAGTTTGGATCCTGGGCTGGGACCTATTCACCGCTCATCAAGCCATGCTGAGGCAGTGTCCCACACAGAAGAGCTACAACTCTACAACTATGACACACAACTAGGTACTGGGGCTTTGGGGAGAAAAAAGAGGAAGATCAACAAAAAGTTGATGATTTTTGTTCATATTCCTACCTATCTTTAATATTTTGCAGTATTATGGATTCTCATTTAATATGAAAGTATAATGTAAATAACCATTTTGATTGCTGGTCCTTTTATTAAAAAAGGCAAAGACAGCTTTAGTCAAGTCACATACATATACTAATATTATCATTATTAGTCACTTGGTGCTTTCTTAGAATATTTGATTTTGTAACCTTTTAAAATCCTTTAAATAGTTTTTACATTTAAATTAAGAATAAAATCTGAGAGCACTATGAAATAAATATAAGAAATCTTCCACAAAAATAAGGTAGTGATAAAGTCATTAACATTCATAAGAAAACTTTGCCACAAGACAACTTGCAAACCATTAAAGCAAAATAGCTTGATAATCCAAATTAATGATTGTGATTTCTTAACGTAGTACACATTAAGGATATAATTGCTTGTTGGGGAAATACTGAATTTCAAATAAATGGTTTAGTTTCAAAAAGCAAATGACTGTTTTCCAAAACAGAACTATCTAGCTTTACACAATGTATAAATCAAAAGTTTATCAAATTGTTATAGGAAACATGCTACTTGAATGTTATGTAAACAATCAAGTGACATAGTTTCTATTTATAAAGTTCAGAATATCCTTGAATTTAAATTGCAAAGGTTAATTACATTCAGAAATAACAGCCAATTTGAAAATTTGTATTGAGCCACTCAATCTGGAAGGGGAAGGTAGCTGGTAAAATGAGGATATTTATCTTTCAATATAGAAATTTCTTAAAGGAAATTAGATTATGTCAGGCAGGTAAACTATAAGTCCTCGTTGATATCCCCATGGTCAATTGCAAATGTTACATGAAATACACTAAACTTGAAATATATTTAATAAAAGAATTTTTAGAAAAGTATCCAAACAATGCTTTTATTGTAGCATTCTAAATCTTGTTCAAAGACAATTTCACACCTTAACTTTTTTAAGATCAACTTACCAATATGTCTGCGTTTATATTACTTAGTAATATTTAGAATGCCTAAAATTAAGAAAGTCAGGTACACCATTGCCCAGGTCTCATGTCACCACAAAATTAACATAATTTGCAATGCAAAGATGACAAAAATTATTATCCAGTTTGTATAAGAGAATTAGACACTCCTTACTACTATTTTTATTGCACAATTTAAGACCTAAAAAGTATCTTAAGAGATTAGTAACTCCAAATACTTTATACAAATTAGGAGACTATGGTCTACAGCAAATAAAATGTCAAGATTATAGGGTTAATTTACATTAGAGGCTGGGTCTCCTGATTGCTGAATCAATTATATTTTCTACTCTATCACACACTTCTCATTAATGCAGAAGATGGAGATGTCCTGAAATTATCTTTTTCCCCTATGCCTCTCGACAAAGAATAAAATCTCAAAGGAGAAAAAGTAAATTAATTGGCTGTCCACAGTCCAAATTTTTAAATAGGCAAGAAACTGTGAATAATAGTAAACTAAACTTGAAAGAAAATTTATATTCAACATTAACTATTTCACATAATCTAGCCTCTAACTGTCACATCATGGTTCATGAAAACCTTGTGATTAACTATGGGCATGGCTTATTTCTATGGAACTTCAGGTTAATGTTTTAAACAGTTATTATCATAATAACAAATACAATGCAACCCAATCACCAACTAGATCAGGTGATTTTCATGATTCAAGAATTAATTCAAAATGCTAAAATAAAAACAAATATTTTAGTATTTATCCCTTTAGTTAAGCAGAAAATAGTAGTAAACTAAATAATAATTTACTTTTCTTATGGAATATAATAATTTAAAATAATATTATCTATGTTTATATTTGCCCTCATGTGTCATTAATTTTGTCCATCAAAACTACGGACCATTTTATAATTTGGCTCAAGCAGCAAATATGAAAACACTGAATATAACAAGCACCATCATAAAGGTCAAAGTATATGTAAGACCTTTTTAAAATTTGACTTATAATCCTTTATCTTGTTGGTGATAAAAGAAAAGCTGTATTCCATTAGACTGGGAATTAATTGAGAAGTTATATCATTTAGATTTTTTTATCATTAGTGATACTGGAGTGAAAACGTTAAAAATCTTCATTTAACATTTCTAACCTTCTTCAACCGTTCATTTTTTATTTTATGGGTCAAATTATACCCTTGGTAGGCCATTATAAATGTATTGATGATATATACTTAAATTTACGCTACGCTTCATACATGTTTGTGTCTTAACAGGCCCAATTCTCAATTTTTATAACAGTGTCCAACCACATATGAATGTCAATCTAATATCCTATCAATTGCATAGAGGAAATCCTAACCTCCACATTCAAGTTAAAGCTTGAGATGAAAGATGTTTTGACTTTTTTGTATATGTTATATCTTTAAAACACTATAGTTAAAGGTCTAACATTTAGTTTTCTTTTGCACATATAATAAACACAAAATCTGATCAAATAGCAAAAGGACTGAAAAGGAAAAATTAAGCTGAAGCAAAGACAATAAAAATATTACCTTTATCACCTATTTGAATCAACAGCATAAGCCAACACTAACAGGTAAAAGATTTTCCACATAAATTTCAAGGACAAAGGTAAACTTGCCCTTATATTAATTAATTGGTTATCTGGCTATTCTTAAAATTTCCCAAGATATCTCTTATTGTTATTACCTACTTTCTCTGGTAAATCCCTCACTAATATCAGCCTGACATTAATTTCCACGTTCAGTGTTAACTTATGAATAAAGAATATTTCCTGAAAATTATCAGTGGACATATTTTTTTCATTCACGTATCTAAGTTTTAAGATGTCAAAGTACTGTATACATGTTGAAAATTATTTCTTCCTTTTATGCTTTTAAAACAACTACTAAGCTATGGATTAGAGGTCTGTTTAGAGGCATTATTCTTGTTTCCTGTAAGATAACTCATTTTTGTACCTGTTTGAAAACAAAATCACAAAAACAGGTAAAATGAATATTGGGAATCCACTAAATAATAATAACTAGAATAAGAAAGTGTCTATTTAGTTTTTGAAATTTAGTTCTTTTTAAGAATCGTTAAGATCAGCAAATGCAAAATTCTAGGCCATTTCTAAAACGTGGTATGTATCATCAAAAAAATGGCTAAAGAATGTACATTTCAGATTATAAAGACGTATAATTCTGATGACTCAACTACTAATTTAACCATAATCCTGAAGTACCATTTTATTGGAAAGCACTGCATGTCTTACTGCTCTGATATAAATTAAATATATCAATTGTTTTAATATTAATACAAAAGTGCTCTGATGTAAGGTAAAGGAATTTGATGGGCTTGTTCTCATCCCTTTTTCAAGATAAATAGTCTACAGTTTATGTTTCACTGACAAACTTTAGTGATATTTTCCTACTCAAATGTTGGTAGCTACTAAATTTCAGATGTTGGATAAAAACATTTACTTACTTGCTATATAAAACAACAGACTTTTGCAAAGATTTCCTTTGTCCTCAAGGATAAAGCTCCATGGGCTGTCTTCAAAATGGCATACCTTTTGGGGCAAAAAACCAATATTTCTAAACAATTTATTGATGGAACAACCAACAGCAAGCAGGAATAAATGTTTTAAAAATTTTTATTATTTAAAAGAAATGAAAACTAAAATCTATGTTCACAAAAGCTGATTTTTAAAATCTTCTTCCCTAAAATCTATTAGTATGAACAGTAACTGGCTCAAATTTTCTAATAGATTTATTTCTTTAAATATTTAGAAGATTGTTTGCCCAGTATATTAGCGAACTAAAAAGAAAAAGTGTATCTTTGGTATTTTGGTTTTCCTCAAAATATAATCAGTCTTTTCTTTTTCCCAAAATTAAACAAAGGCTTATAGGACCTTCAGTATTTTAAACTATTCAAAAGGCATATTAAGTTACAATGGCTATGCACATATACTTTTCATTCAATGAAAAGTCTTAAAGCTGTAGTAAAATTATTTCAGATATTTAGTTTACTCATACTCGCTACTTACTGGAAATATAAATTTTAGACAAAATAAAGAATAAGCTTATTTTTATGTCAAAGTTATAAAAATTTACCCAGTCTTACCTCAAATAAAAGAGCTGTATTTGTCCAGACCATCATCAACCAAATTTAATTTTAATCTTGTAAATTACCTTTAAAAAAAAAAAAAGGAAGATTATATCAATGTTTTGATTTTTAAACATTGCTTGGCCAAAGTTTCAGTGTGATGAAACAATGAGAAAATATTCCAAAGACAGGATCTATAGACAAATTTAAGAGACGGCTGATCGACACACTACCTGTACATTTAAAGTTGCAATTATTTCTTATCTCACTATCTGTCAGTCTTTGTTTTTCTCATCTTTTGGTTGCATGAATAAACACAAGAGATTAAGGAATTGAGATTAAAAAGAAATGCAGAAAATTCACATCTTTGGACAGATTTAAGATTATGACCTTGTTTTTTTTCTTCCTTTGATACCAGGCAATACACAAAAACAAAGGAAAAGTTTACCATTTTTAAAGACTGAAATCATCTCAAAATTTCCTTTACCATCTAGAAATACCTTTTACAAATTACAAACAATTAAAAATTAACTCCTCCAGGAGAAATTAGTGAAGTTAAAATGACCACTGGTTACTTTAAATTTTTATACCACAAGTTATTTGATCTCACCAAGTGGGATATTAGCTTTGTCTTTTAAGCAAAAGGTAGTATCTATGACCTTTATTCAATTTCAAACCAGGGTCTTGAACATTTTCAATCTCTCCCTTCCCCCATTTCTCATGTAAAAAGATCTTATGAGGTTAAACTGATAGCAATCATTTTGCATTTCACTATTCAAAAAAGATTCTGAAAATCTAAATTCAGAATATTCATTTAAAACCACTTTCAGTGTTCAAAAATTTGAAAAATGTTGATTTGAAAAACCAAAATGGGTACTTAACAGATTCTATAAAATCAAGATATGCGCAACTGATGTAACATGTAGCACTAGGTGAATGCTATTCGAAAAATAAAACAATTTCACTGACAAAAATATCCTCAGAAATATGGTCGATTACACCAGTACCCCTGATTTTATAAGTACCACGTAAATCTGCCCAACACTCATTTTACGTAGATCTGCACCTTTACAACACGAGAGCTACCGCAGAATGAAGACAAATATATTCTAAAATACACAAAGGTTTGTGCATTGTGGTTTGTTCTTCAAACCATTAAACTTCAATTCCCTCTCAAACAGTTTTTTAAATTCATAGACTATACAGAGGACTCTGCAAATTTTTTTGAAGCCAGTTCACGTTAGTAAAATACTGTTCCGTTTTAAGCATATCTAGATTTTTATGCATGCAACAAATGCAACAAATATGGCTCCTCTTCATCGCCCATTACCGAGAGCAGTCTTACTTTAATATTTACACTACGAGAAAGTAACTTCAGAGATTTAGTGTCAGAATACTCCTTTGTAAAAGTTTTGCCGACCAGGGCTTGTGATAATATACGTTATTTTTAAAAATAATAAAATGATGAACTTAAACTTTTAAAAGTCTAGGAACTAACCCAAGTACGTCCTAACATTCAGGTGTGATAAGTTACAGAAAACGGCTCCTTATGACCTTCTAAGAAGTACGAAACACTATATTTAATCGTTATTCAAACATCAGAATGTCAAATAATCTTGGCGTAATTACTCGGAAAAATAAACTATCTTAATCAAACGTCATCGTCTAGCACCGTCATTAAAACCTATTTCCATTAAACAGCCCTGACGATATAGTAAACTTGGCTTCGCAATTTCTGAAATACCAAAAGCACTCCTCCAACTTGCATTTTTAAACGACAACCTTAACGTCATCGCGGTTCTAAACCGCTGCAAGTACCTTCCGTCCCTAACGCTGCAGCCGTTTTCAAAAGCGGCTTTGAAAGAGTTAAAAGCCAACACCCAAAAGAAAAAAAACAAGTTTTATTTTTGTTTAGACGTAGTCAGAGTTCCATTGTTCTTTTAGATTCGATCATGAAGATGAGTTCCCACCTCACCGGAAAGGGGTTAAAAAGCTCCCCCGTTGGAGAAGCTGAAAGGGATTTTTTCCACCCTAAATACCAAAATAACTCACCCGGACAGAAAGGGGCTCTCCCCGCGCCGTCCCCCTCGGCCTCCCGCCTGCGGTCCCCCGCCGCCGCCCCTCTCCCGGCGGGGCCGGTCCCGGCCACGAGCCGCCCCC